TATACAAGTGGATTTACACTATTTCGTTGTCTACGATTACAATTAGTTTGTATTGTGCTAGAAATGTTATATTTAAAGAAGTACTCTTACGAAAAAGAGTAAATGTACGGACTTAAAACGGGTTTGATTCCCCGTGGTTGACACATGAAATAGCTCTAGAAGTAACAAACAATAAAAACCATTGTGATTTATATAAAGATTAATGTTTAACAGATTATTCTGTAGTTTGCTAGAGTTTCAATAAGAGAACTGTGTTTCAACATGTGTAATGTTGGATTACTCCACAGATTAGATCTGCAGTTTGCTAGAGTTTCAATAAGAGAACTGTGTTTCAATATGTGCAATGTTGGATTACTCCACAGATTAGATCTGCAGTTTGCTAGAGTTTCAATAAGAGAACTGTGTTTCAATATGTGTAATGTTGGATTACTCCACAGATTAGATCTGCAGTTTGCTAGAGTTTCAATAAGAGAACTGTGTTTCAATATGTGTAATGTTGGATTACTCCACAGACTAGATCTGCCTTAGCTTTCGACGCTGTCACACTTCTAGCTCTAAGTTTACACAACGCCACTTTTTACGAATTACTTCACGTCCGATCCCTGTCATGTGATAACCCACGACCTTGGCCTCACGGTAAAGCCCTGTTAAACGCTATGAAAAAGGTAAGACTTAGGACTAGATGCAAGAAGTCTAACAAGTTGGTTTTTTCTAGAAAATGCTGCAGTGAAACAAAGGTAGGACTTAGGACTAGATGCAAGAAGTCTAACAAGTTGGTTTCTTCTAGAAAACGCTTCAGTGAAACTACATCTAAAAATGAAGAACTAATTCTTCGAAACTAATTTGAATCGTTAATAAGTTATTCTAACACTTTTCACAGAAAACAACTCGTACGACCTTATGATACCGTATTTATACATACGTTAGTAGTGGTCGTGTAGTTGACGTCAGATTTCAACTAAACATGTCAGTAGTGGTCGTGTAGTTGACGTGAGATTTCAACCAAACATGTCAGTGGTGGTAGTGTAGTTGACGTTAGATCTCAACTAAACATGTCAGTAGTGGTCGTGTAGTTGACGTGAGATTTCAACCAAACATGTCAGTGGTGGTAGTGTAGTTGACGTTAGATCTCAACTAAACATGTCAGTAGTGGTCGTGTAGTTGACGTGAGATCTCAACTAAACATGACAGTAGTGGTCGTGTAGTTGACGTGAGATTTCAACTAAACATGTCAGTAGTGGTCGTGTAGTTGACGTTAGATCTCAACTAAACATGTCAGTGATGGTAGTGTAGTTGACGTTAGATCTCAACTAAACATGTCAGTAGTGGTCGTGTAGTTGACGTCAGACCTCAACTAAACATGTCAGTGTTGGTAGTGTAGTTGACGTAAGATCTCAACTAAACATGTCAGTGGTGGTAGTGTAGTTGACGTTAGATCTCAACTAAACATGTCAGTGGTGGTAGCGTAGTTGACGTCAGACCTCAACTAAACATGTCAGTGGTGGTAGTGTAGTAGACGTCAGACCTCAACTAAACATGTCAGTGTTAGTAGTGTAGTTGACGTTAGATCTCAACTAAACATGTCAGTAGTGGTCGTGTAGTTGACGTCAGACCTCAACTAAACATGTCAGTGGTGGTAGTGTAGCTGACGTGAGATTTCAACTAAACTTGTCAGTGGTGGTAGTGTAGTTGACGTTAGATCTCAACTAAACATGTCAGTGGTGGTAGTGTAGTTGACGTTAGATCTCAACTAAACATGTCAGTGATGGTAGTGTAGTTGACGTTAGATCTCAACTAAACATGTCAGTGGTGGTAGTGTAGTTGACGTTAGATCTCAACTAAACATGTCAGTGGTGGTAGTGTAGTTGACGTTAGATCTCAACTAAACATGTCAGTGATGGTAGTGTAGTTGACGTCAGACCTCAATTAAACATGTCAGTGGTGGTAGAGTAGTTGACGTCACATCTCAATTTAACAGATCGTTAACTAGATAGAACCAGAAAAGTAACAGTTTTCAAGCCTGATTAGTTTTGTTTTAAGCCAATGTGTCGTGTCACCTTTCATAATCACTAAAATATGTTGCTTGAAATGTGTAAATAAAAATGTTTTATTTGATGTATTTGACAAGAGAACCGAGTTCGTCCCTAAACTCATGAAAACCTTCACCGTCTCATGGGTAACAGAAAATATATCATAAACGAAGAGATTTCTTTTCTTCGCTGAAACTTCCCCAGTTAATAGAAGAAAAGAACAATATAATGTAGACTGGCTTTTAAACATAAGTCACGTGTTCTCAATAACAATACATTAAAGACTGGCTTTTAAACATAAGTCACGTGTTCTAAAGGAAGTTCATAAAAGTTAAAGGTGACATCCTTTAAAAATAGTTACACCATGAAATTTACAAATGAAGGAGAGACAAAGGCAACAATGAACGTGCTAATTTTAAATATCACACGACTTCACAATAAATTGAACACACGAATACATTGAAAGAACAAACAAAATAAACGTACATGACCAGCGGTTAAACAACATGTTTATATAACATTACTGTCAGCAACTGTTCACTTGAACAAGTTAACAAATATGTCACAAATTTAACTAAGTTCAAGTGAACAGTTGCTGACAGTAATGTTGAAGTTAAAAATATGTTAAAAATTTAACTTCTTTTCCTGAAAATGTTATTGATGAATCATTAAATAAATATGACAAAACTATAACACCGAATGAAAAAAATATTACTTGCTAAATATACATTACTGGTAAACAAGCATTACTTGGTAAACAAACATTACTTGCTAAATATACATTACTGGTAAACAAGCATTACTTGGTAAACAAACATTACTACTAAACAAACATTACTGGTAAACAAACATTACTACTAAACAAGCATACTAGTAAACAAACATTACTGGTAAACAAACATTACTTGGTAAACAAATATTACTACTAAACATACATACTAGTAAACAAACATTACTGGTAAACAAACATTACTAGTAAACAAACATTAATAGTAAAGTAACATTACTTGGTAAACAAATATTACTTGGTAAATAAACATTAATAGTAAACAAACATTAATAGTAAAAAAACATTACTTGGTAAACAAATATTACTTGGTAAACAAACATTGATAGTAAAGAAACATTACTGGTAAACAAACATTACTTGGTAAACAAGCATTACTTGGTAAACAAACATTACTTGGTAAACAAGCATTACTTGGTAAACAAACATTACTTGGTAAACAAACATTACTGGTAAACAAACATTACTTGGTAAATAAACATTAATAGTAAACAAACATTAATAGTAAAGTAACATTACTTGGTAAACAAATATTACTTGGTAAACAAACATTGATAGTAAAGAAACATTACTGGTAAAAAAACATTACTTGGTAAACAAGCATTACTTGGTAAACAAACATTAATAGTAAAGAAACATTACTTGGTAAACAAACATTACTGGTAAAGAAACATTACTGGTAAACAGACATTAATAGTAAAGAAACATTGTTTGGCAAACAAACATTGATAGTAAAGAAACATTACTTGGTAAAGAAACATTGATAGTAAAGAAACATTACTTGGTAAACAAACATTAATAGTAAAGAAACATTACTTGGTAAACAAAGATTACTTGGTAAACAAACGTTAATAGTAAAGAAACATTACTTGGTAAACAAAGATTACTTGGTAAACAAACATTACTTGGTAAACAAACATTAATAGTAAACAAACATTAATAGTAAAGAAACATTACTTGGTAAACAAATATTACTTGGTAAACAAACATCACTTGGTAAACAAACATTACTAGTAAACAAACATTACTTGGTAAACAAACATTACTTGATAAACAAGCATTACTTGGTAAACAAACATTAATAGTAAAGAAACATTGTTTGGCAAACAAACATTGATAGTAAAGAAACATTACTTGGTAAAGAAACATTGATAGTAAAGAAACATTACTTGGTAAACAAACATTAATAGTAAAGAAACATTACTTGGTAAACAAAGATTACTTGGTAAACAAACATTAATAGTAAAGAAACATTACTTGGTAAACAAAGATTACTTGGTAAACAAACATTTATAGTAAAGAAACATTACTTGGTAAATAAACATTAATAGTAAACAAACATTAATAGTAAAGTAACATTACTTTGTAAACAAATATTACTTGGTAAACAAACATTGATAGTAAAGAAACATTACTGGTAAACAAACATTACTTAGTAAACAAACATTACTTGGTAAACAAGCATTACTTGGTAAACAAACATTAATAGTAAAGAAACATTATTTGGTAAACAAACATTACTTGGTAAACAAACATTACTGGTAAAGAAACATTACTGGTAAACAGACACTACTTGGTAAACAGACACTACTTGGTAAACAAACATTACTTGGTAAACAAACATTACTGGTAAAGAAACATTACTTGGTAAACAAATATTACTTGGTAAACAAACATTACTTGGTAAACAAATATTACTTGGTAAACAAACATTACTT